GAAAGAGTAGACTGGATCAGAGAACGCGCGGCTACGTAAAACTGAGCCGATAATTTAAACATCTCCTGTATGAGAGAAATTGCTTTTCCTGTAAAAGCCACCCAATTAGTGTCCCCGGCTAATGACTGGCAACGGAAATCAATAATGATCACAGAGATATAGATATCGCAATTAATAATTAGTAAACATAATAAACATAATATACCGTAATGACATTGATTAACCAAGCGAATTTTTGTAAAGAATTAGCAAGCATTTCAAGCGGAAAATATGTGTGCGTGTATAAATGATAGATTGATTAACTTCATAAAATGTCAATAACGTTATAATATCGTATCGGAAAGTTAATTATTTACGAACAACGGATATCGTACAATGTAATATTATTTTACATCATTTAGCGCGGAAAAGAGATAGAGAAGCAGAGAAATGAGAGACGAGCTATATTTTGATTGAAACAACAACGTTAAAAAAAAACAAGAATATACTGTCATAAAATTTAAAAAAATATAATATCCGACTATCTTCCATTTATTCGATATGCTCCATTCTATAATTTACGAAATATCATAGGTTACTCTGACCTGAGAAAAAAATCATAGTCTTGATTGAGATAAACCGAGAGAAAAGGTCATTTCAACAGTCGAAGTTGATGAAAAACGCGCAATAAAACTGGGCAAGAACCTATAGCATCAGGTATTCGCTAAAACCTTCGTTTCGATTGTGGAATAACCCTACGGAAAACACTGTCGGCCACATAAAAGGAAGAAATTTTACGGCGACAAAAGCACTGTTATAAAACGATAATTGATTTACAAGGGCGGTCCTTTTCGGTAGTGGTCTTACCCGAAAATTTTGAGAGACCCGCTTTATCTCAAAAGAAAGCGCAAAATCTCGCTCCGTAATTATAAACATATAGCGATAACAATAGAGAGAGGGATAAGTTTTATAGGATATAACGAAAAAAAGTGTTAGATTCAAGTAAGTAATTATTTCAATACTTAGCAAATTTTTACTTCAATTAAATAAATATTATTCGAATGTAACACTTTTTTCTAGTCAAGTAATATTTACTTGATCGAAATAAAATTTACTTAATCCAAGTAAAAATTTGCCAAGGAGTACTGGAGCAAATATTTATTTGAATCTAGCACTTTTTTTGCGTATACATACAAAATTATTATACCTAATAGGACAAAATATATCTTCTGAGAATCATCAAAAAACAATTCTCCCCATCGTTTACGGATACGTAATGAAATTTCACTTGATAAAAAGAAAAAATATTGCAACCTTTCCGCTACTAACTGCATATACATTTCAATTGTAGTTGCGCAATATGATCTCGCGTCGTTCATTCGCAACGTCGAATCGATTCGATCTTGTCGCAATGCATCGAGAACAGATTGCACTATTTTGAGACACGCGTTCGGTGCTATTTTATATTTTGTCCTCGCTATCGTTAAATCCTTCAAGCAGGATCCGAACCTGCGCCATCGATACATCGAATCTCTTATTGTTTCAGTTCGATCTTCGTGGGAGGCTGCGCGGCGCGCGAAGATAAACATCCATACGCAAGAATAACATCTTCCAGGTCCCTCTAATCACAACACACTCGGGAGATACCCCGTACATAAGCGAGGAACACGAGTAGGAAAGCACTTTTGGCGGAGCTGTCGGAAAAATGTGAGAGAGCCGGCGGTACGTGTGTGTGTGTGTGTGTGTGTGCGTATGTGCGAATCATCCAGGGAGATCATTATTCATTTGGAAAAGGATTGACAATTTCCGTAGGAAAACAATTCTCAGAAGTTGCGTGAACAAGTTCAGCGGTCAATCATTTACTTCCAACCACAATCTAATCGTAACGAACTGAACGATCCGATGTTAATTTGCGACACGGTGATTAAATGCGGATCGAGCGGGGAAAGAGGAACGAGGTGAGAACTGAGCGACGGGATGAGTGATATGTCGCAGGCGAGAACTATTCGAATGAAGCAGTTGTTGAGCCTCTTCATAAATACGTAATTTTATTCGGTTTACCTCAATACATTCCACTCTCTTCTACAGCGTTTCGCAATATAATCGAAAATAGAACGGCAACTTGAGTTACGCTCGATTCTAATGGCACTTCGAGTTCGCTAGAGGAGATTGAGTTACGTCGTTTACGCGTTACAATATATAGTATTGCGAATGCATTCTACAGATTTAAACGATTAGTAATGAGTTATCTGAGAGAGATTTGAGAATCGCCTTTTTCGCCTACTTTCTTACATTACAAAGATAATAGAAAGATCGAAATCCGTCCGAGACTTGCCAATAATAAATCGAACCTGTGAAAAATCGGACTGAAAGAAGCCGATGGGGAATTCGTGTCGTGAAATAACGAAGTCTCAATATTCAGAACCACGGTATAATTTTGAGAAGCATTTCGTTCCCCAAAAGTGTTGTGATAATACGATTTGAAAAGCTCTAAAATGTTATCAGACTTCGCTCTGGTTCTTCTAATCAAATAAAATTCACAAAGTAATAACAATCACGAAACACGCGATTACAGTGAATTTTCTCATTAGAAGCACGATTACATCGCTATATTCCAGATCATATTTCAGATATGTTGGAGATATCAAAAAATGTATTGAAATATATACGAAAATATACTTGATCATTCGTCGAATTCCTCGGTTTTGAAGATCGGAATCCAATTTCGCGAGACTCGCGTTTCCCCCGTCGATTCCTCTCGAACCCGCCGGTTTTCTTGTCGGGGAACGCAGAAACGTCGCAAACGGAACGTGTATCAGCGGCGATTGTACGCGAAAAAAATAAACGGACACTACATACGCGTCTTACGTGGAGGCACATGTGTTCAATCCGCGATACCGTCTGATATTTACCGAACAAACCCGTCCGGGTTTGCTTTATCGGAGCAGTAACTTACGATCACCGCGAGTTCGGAGTGAGTTTAGCACAAATTAATCTCCCCGCCGATTTACCACCGAGGTAAAACAGATAACGATCGCCCATTACGGAGTCGCGACGGCGCCGTGTGCGCGCCGTACAACCTAAAACGGCGCCCTTAACCTCCCTATTACGACTGTAAAATTCCGGCCGCCCGTCGTCGGGCGAACGACGACGAGAAATTCACTCACTCGGCTGCCCTAGAAAAAAGTTATACAAAATATGACACGATATCTGTCCTACGATATGCGATCAGAGCGTGTTATCACTCGTTAGAACCTACGCCTACGTTTATTGCCAGTCGAGAGACATATTGCTAGCGGTATCTGCCCGTAACGATCGTAGAATGTAATCGTAAAAATGTCTACGTGTAAACACTATATAGGTGGATAACATAAGTCTCCGCACGTATGCAAACCGTGCGGCTGTGATAGTCTGTGCGAAGTCGAGGGGAAGAAAGAAAAGATGCGGATTTCCCTCCCCTCTTCGATTGAGGAGCGACGGAAACTTCGTGGCGCGCTCTTAACAAACGGCAGTCTCGGCTCTAATTTATACGTTTTCGCGTAGCGCATCGCGCGTGCGATTGTCTAATGATTCCCTAGAATGCAAAACTCCTTTTGGCAAAATCGCACACGAATGAGGTAACAACTGTGCCGATCGGTGATTAACACATAACGTTAGCCAATTTGCAGCGTGATGTGATTTATATTCCATCATATATTCCGTAGAGTATCGGGGATTCTGCCGAAAGCTCGAACAAATAAATATAAATAAGTACCTTTTGCAAAATCGCCTAAATCCGTGAAATCATATACCTACTTATCGTCATGTCGTGTAATCAATTAATTCCTGCTGCGGTGAGATATACGAATATACAAATAATAATTAAAATCATTTAATAAATACACGCGCGAGAATGGCTAAAGAGGGGCGACTAAGGAACAAAGAGAAGAATGCAACGATACAAGGCGAGAGAAAGGAAGAAAGGCAGTGTCAAACAAAAACAGCGTCGTATAGTTTAAAAATATTAACATTTGTCATGTAACAGGCGGGACCGCGCGCGTATCATCGTCGGGCGTAAGACGAAACGCGCGCGATGACCGCTCCGGAGGCAGCTCGCAAGAAACAACAAGTCTTTTTTCCTCCAAAAACCACACACACTCTTCGGAAAACGTCCGTTTCCACGAGTCTGTCATTCGCGTCGCGGTATCGCTGCGACGCGAAAGTTTCGTCGAAAAGTTTCTCAGTCCGACGACCACGTTTCAGTCTCAATTGTACAGAAATATCAACAGCGTATCCAACAATATTACATAACGCTTAATCATAATAAATAATCGCGTGGAAAATACATGCGAACGAACGAGTGAACGAGCGAACGTACGTACGAACAACGTCCTAACATTAAAAGAAAAACCGACAGTCCGTCAAGAGATAGTTCTCGCCTTCCAGCTGGATCGGAGCCGACCGTTCGTGAGCGAAGGGGTGATCGAATGGTCGCGGACGAAGAGCACGACGGGAGTGCCTTGGAAAGTCTGAGCAACGACGGCGTTAACCGACGACTTACGTTCCCGACGACACACCACCACCACTCTGGCACTTGAACAACACGCGAAAATAACTTACGAAAAGTCGACGTGCAAATCGACATAAGGCAACAATCGCGCTCCCGACACTTGCTCAGAGATCGGTCACCGGCCCGGACAGATTTACACTGCTGCTGTCGATCGCCGAGTCCTTGCCGGACGCGCCCGAATTCCCGCCGTCGACGTCGTCGTCCTCCTCGTCGTCGTCCTCCTCCTCCTCCTCGTCATCATCTTTTTTCGCTCGAACCTTCTCCGACGACGATGAAGAGGGTGGCACGTGATTCGCCGGTTGCTTGAATGGATCCGCAGGAACAGCACACACACCGGAGGCCGGGAGGTCGCGAACCTTGTTCACAGCTGTGGCACCGTTCACCTTTTTACGCAGTATCTCCACCAGCTTCTCCAGTCTGACAAATTATGTTTTGCGTCTCGTTACATTCGGTCATCACGGTGTCGCTCTGGGTATGTGCCTCTTCCACCAGTAACGCGGCCAAAGAAATAATGTCATTAGAAGCGGGCAAAGCAAAAATTGCAGCCTAAAGCCAAGCCGCCGGCTAGAAAACACAAGAACGACGTGTTTTGGTGCCTGCCGTCCAGATGAAGCGACACGGGTGTGTTGGGAAATGTGATGCTTGTCCGAGGTAAGAAGAATCGATATGCTTCCTCGAGGAGCGGAAAGGATCATGCAAGCGGAATGACGGTGCGCTCGTGAGATACAATTCGGTCGTGCGTCGAAGAAAGAAATTCGACTCGGCGAAGATTCAATCTGAATTATCGCCACCACGGCCGGCCAAACGATCGGAAGATCGAGATGATGAGCAATAAGGCGGGCGATAATTTACTCTCGGATTAAACCTTCGTCGGTGTGACATTCATTCCAATTGATTTGGAAACTTTACTTTTCCTAAGGGAATAATGAATATATATGTATGTATATATATATATATATGCACATTCTCAGTTACGTATATTACAACTTTCTTAGTCTAGTCGAGAACTATATTTTGGCAGAAACATTAAAGCAGCTTTCAATATGAAAAATGATTTGGAAATATTTCAACAACGGTGTATGTGTACGAATGCAAACGTGACATATCGATGAAATTATAATCTAGATATTAGACGTTGAGTTTCGCGTTCACGCGGAATATGGCAATGTTATGGCGTTTGCTACACAAATCAGACGAATACGACACAACTAACAATGGTTATATTTACATACGTGTATACGCATCGAAGTATATAATATGTATATATATATACATGTATAGATATATACACGAGATGTAATAAGGATGAGACATGCTAAACTGTCAAAGCCATGCTGATAGACATTTTATTGCACAAACTGAAATCAGAGGAAATATTTTATACATGTATGTATCGACTTTTTTTCTTATTCTTCGTAACACATTTAATATATAAATATATGTATACAAGTATATATTAAATGTCAAGTTATTTATTTTTATTTCTGCTTATGTCTGCATTAATGTTGATAATATATATTGTATATAAGATTAATATGCAAAGACAGCTGAGATATAAGTGAAAATTTGTACAAATATGTGCGTAGTCGGTAATAACGATTCAAGTATATTTGCGCGTCAGCCAATTGAAGCGATTGCTATGTCGATCAGTGTTTCTTTCTTATTCCTTCATTCAAGAAAGAATACAACGTTTACTGTCAGAGAATAAAAAAAAAATGATAAAATGCAAAACAGTACATATAACTATCAAGTTCATCCTTGTCAGAGATGACAGTCACGATATCTAGTCAGTTAATCTTAGTTAATGGTTAATCTTCCTCCCTCGAGACGATAATACGAAAACTACGAGAGATACAGCACGAATGAATTACGTTCTCCCGGTATCTACGTTCACGCACCACTGTGTCTCACTTTAACATACGTACTCAAAATTACACATCATTATCGAGCCATGGAAAAGCATTGCGAAAGGAAATCAATTCGATCGAAGCGCGATACGAGTCGAGAATGAAATCTCTCAGTTTCGGAAAACAAATGGGACAACTCACGCCGTCCGGCGCACGTGTCATCGTAGACATGATCTTCGGCACCGGGAGATAACGCAATTGTATCGCAAACGTAAAGCTTGGGCGCAGCTCGAAGCATGGGACGTAGGGGATACGACGGGCACGTACGTGAAAGTCCCTCCACATCCAACGTAATATCAGTCATAGTTGTAAGAACGTCGTTGCAAACATCACATGTCTATAAAAGGTAATTGCATCGTCAAAAGCATCGTTGGAAACGTCTGAATGGCTCCCAATGCCAGGCAGCGTTGTAAATCGTATGACTTGAAGTTAACTTTTACGATGATTTTGCGATGGCAAAATCGAGAAGCATTGCAACGGTTACAATAATTTATGGTAGACATCACGATAGGATGTAGACCGACCTGAAAAGAGCATGCATGACGAGTGAACAATGAGAGAGAGACCTACGTGCTATTCGACATGTACACAGAGGAGTAGTAGTAGTAGTAGTAGTAGCCTCTAGTTAAGCCCTTTGAAGCCCCCCTTTTTGCGGATATTGGCGACGAGTGGTATATCGCTTTTTTTTTCGCTTCCCCGCTTCGCTCTTTTGCTGTGTTTTAGCAAATTCCGCTTTTTTATTATTATGGTTTATTTTTTTTTGGCTCGGGACCCCGCGCGTACGTAACCTAGATATAGGCGGTGGTGTAGGTGGCGCGTGAAGGTGCTGTCAGGACTCTGGAGGTCAGGATTCTCGTCGAGCAGAGATCTTTCGGCACGAACGAGCCGCCGTCGACCACGGCGACGTCCGGCACCTCGGCGATGGCTCGGCTCGCGCGGTTCTCGTCGAAACGATTCTCGTCCCCGTTCATCGTGTCGCGGCTATGCCTCGCATTCGAACACGAGTTTGTAATCTCGTCGTCCAACACGGCGTCTTGCTGGCAGAACTTGCCGGGCATGTCGGTCCCGCTGGACGACTTCTTGGAGTGGCCCTTCTTCCGCCGTTTCTTCAAGCCGAACAGCGTCGCGGAGAAATCGTCGAACGTACTCGCGTCCTCCGTCGAACTCGATCCTTCCGCCTTGCTCGTCGCGTTGCTCGATGAGTCTTTCGACGAATTCTGCTTCTTAAAACTGTCCGATGGCGCGATCTCCACCTCGGCCCCGTTTCTGTTCGACGCAGCCGATGATTCTGCCTCCGCTTCCGCGGTGATCTCCGCGAACAGATCGTCCTCCGTCTGTACGGTATCGGTTTTCTTCTCCTCGCCGACCAGTGGGTTCCTCTCGCAATACATCTCGTAGATCTGCTTTGTGTCGAGCAGACCGTAGCAAAGCAAGTCCACCAGTCGTGCCGAGTACGTTATATTCGTGATGGGGTCTGGGCGTCTCGGTTTGTGATTTTCGCTTTTGCACCGAGAGTTCTCGTCGTTCTCGGTGTCGTCGCTCGCTTTAGTCGGCTGGCAGGATGCCGAGGTCGCATTCGAGGGCTGATGACCGATGTTGTCTACCTTCAACCGCGGCTCCGGCGAACTGTCGCTGGACACGACGACTCCGGAGTCGAGTCTGTTTCGAATTCGTGTCTGCGCGGTCTCGATGACGAGAGGAGCCGCCACCTCCGCGGGATAGGGACGAAAAGCGGAAGCGGCAACGGATTTGGAGGTGGACGAGGAAGTAGCGTTCGTGATCGTGGTGTCGGGTACGGGGGATAGGCAGCGAGTGTCGTTAAGAGCGGTACGCACGGGGGTGCTGGTTGTATCGGCCGATTCGTAATTTACAGGCGTGATAGATCTGGATACCGCCAAGTTTACGCACTTTGCCGCGTGGTTCTCGGCCAGGGTCCTGGAAGCGCGCGCCTCCTGGAGCTCCCGTCGCAGCGCCAGGGTCTCCTCCTCGAATGCTGCGATCTCGCGACCTCCGTTGCTAGTGCGAATAGAATGGAGATTTTTATGCAGGTGGACGCAACGGGGGAGGATGCAAGCAACCCGAAACTTTGGGAGATCAAACGGTCGGGAAAACGCGGGCCTCTGGGCTCGCGTTCGTTGAGGAACGAGGCGACGAACGGACGGACGGGTGTCGATGAGCGAAACGACAAGTCGTCGTGGATACGAAGGTTTGCGTGTAAAAGTGCGAAGATCTGTACGTATCTCGATGTCTTCCACTTGAACCGCGCGATTTTTCTAACAAAGGAAGATTTTTGCGACAAAAGAAGATTTTTGCAAATTGTTTGACGAACTGACCAAATCAATGTTTCGAACGTAGATCGCGCCACTCGATTTAATACACAGACAAAGTGCTAGAATCAAGTAAACGTAATTACCTGTTTTCAGCATCTTAAATCAAGTTCTTATCGATTTAAATATATCTTAATAGTTTGCGTAGTAAATACTTACTTGAACGCAATAATACTTTAATTTATAAATGAAATGAATGTAAGTGTAAAATGATCCTAAATTTAAGAGAATATTTACTAAAATTATGTATTATATTTATCTATTCCATTGAAGAAATCTAGTGGTTTTAAATTTCGATTTTTCTGTCCAGCAAATATTTTTTTTTATAAATTCTGATATCTTCAATATTATGAATTTAGTACTTGTCACGATTGCTTTTAACACATACAAATAAATGTCTACTTATCGAAAAAAAATATCGTACATGTAGTCAATTATATTTTTACTTCTAGTAAATATTTGCCCAGGAATATTGGAATAATAATGTTACTTAGATCAAGTAAATATTACTTGAACAGTAGCACTTTATTTTCAGTGACCTGAAAAACAAAACAATGAACCTTTGAATACCGCTGCCTCAAGACAGAGATCGTACGCGTTTCATCGATAAGAACAATTGTTCGCGAAATTCGTCACAAATATGTAAGAAACGTCATGCTGCGTTTATGCGATATTGACGTGAAAAATCGTGAGCAACAGAGCGGATGTTACGAATAATAAATTATAGGCGATTACACTAAAGCCACGTTGTGATTGTATGAGTAGCGATGATTAATCGTAGGCAATTACGAAATTGATGTGTGATTAAAGCCGAATTCTCCGGCGATCTTTTTGCAGACGCTGCCGAGTTCTGAGCCGCAACGCTCATTCGGTATATACAACGTCGAAACACTCGTCGGAAGTAGAATAGAGTGGAGCGGAACAGAATGGATGCAAATCAGGTTTGAAGCAAAGTCTTCTAGGCTTTGTGCAAATAACTTACGTCACGCTCAGCTTCAACTCCGTCAGCTCTTCCTCCAATGCGGCGATGCGCTTTTTGCTTTCTTCGTACTCGATGGTTACTTTCGACAATTGGTACTGCGATTAGAAAAATAGAACGCAACTTGGTATTACCCGCGACCACCTAACCGGACGGAACCTAACGGTCGAGACACCACAATCAGACAGAACAACCAATGAAACAACGAGCATTACGCGCAAACTTACGGACAGCGATCCGACGTAAACCATCCTCGAAGAAAAGAAAAAAAAAAACATGGAACGTCTACAACTATGTCTGGCCGTTACAATTGAATCATCTCGAGGCCATCTCTTAATCACCTTATCCCCCGGCTAGATATTTACAAGACAAACGCCACGCGGTCCAGGCAGTGTGAATTGAAAAAGAAGAAAAAAACGGACGAAGAAGAAAGAAAAAGCGAGGAATCCGGCAACCTTGATCGGCTCTCACGTGCAGCAGAATTTACATGGACGGAGGTGAAGGGGACGGACGGGGTCTCCGAGGTTCAATTACGAGATTGCCAATATGCAGGCGACATGGCGGTGGCGGCAGCGGCCATCGCTTCGGCTGATGAGGCTAATGGATGGTTGAAACCCGAGAAGACACGGCAAAGAGGAAAAAGAGGCCAAGGGAGAGGCCCCTGACAGCCGCTAAGTGCGCCGTCCTCCACCCTTGCGCTCGTCTAGCCCCTCTGTCTCATTTTCTCCCTCCCCTCTTTTTCTCTCTCTTTCTCTCTCTCCCACCCTTCTCGATCCCACTTTCCCTGTCCCTTTGGTCCCCGCCCCGATCTGCCTCTGCAACACTCTGCCCAACGGATGCCCCCATGTGAAACCTAATCACTTTTAGCGCGTCACGGATATTTCGTATTATGTCTACATTGCGTTCTCCGGTATCGGCCGACTTTATCAGTCGTGGCGGCCGCGACTTTCTCCTCCCGATTCGACTCCACTTTCCTCCCCCACTTCGCGAGTGTCTAAGCAATTGGCGTATTTTTCCTAAGATAAGCTTTGGGCCCGATGTTCCGAAAAGAATGAAAAGAAAATGTCGAGAAGCGTCGTCCCTTCGCGGTTCGACCTTTTCCGTCCGCCTTCCCACCCTTTCCCGGCAAAGTCGCAAGTGCGAACCGTATTCAGTTGACGTGTTTCCCCGAGAACGAACCCGTCGGACCCGGCTTGCCGAAAACAATTTTCGAGACCTCTCGTGATCTCCGTGGATTCACATTCTTCGCCGGCCGCACCTTTACGCCTCTTCACACCTCGGACGTTTGAGGCGAAACAAATGTATACGCGCGCGCATTGTATTTCCGCGTTTGATTTTATCTTTATCACAGTATGCTTATCGGGGTAACTTGAAAATAGAGGGAGATCACGGGCTTGCATGATACAGTTACGACGGAGAAAAGTGTAATTTCATATCGGATAATGCGACAGTTTCTCTTCCCCACTGCGTTATTATTATCGTCACCTCGATACGCATAGGCGGTTTCACGCAACATAACGACACATTCGCGTGCCCGTGCTGGTAAATGCTATTCTAACGGGTATCACGATTACCGATAAGTGCACAAAAATAGTACGTGCACGAGAAATTGATTATTTCCACCCCTTTATTTTTCGCGAACCAATCGATAACGATACGCAATCACCCGATGCAACATCCATGCTGTGTGTACAACTATATTTGATTTGAGGACGAATATCGCGACGAAGAGGTGCGGCGGTGAAATGAAAAAAATCGGAAGAAGCACCTTTGTCATTCACTAAGAGCAGCCTGCGAAGATCTGAAGTTCAGCCAAGCGAGGACCATTAACGGGAGTGAACGAGATGAGTGGAAATACGCGAACGAACGGAAACGAAATTGATTGTCCAGGTTTCGCGTACGTACGATAATCGGGAGAGGGGAGGTAGGAAAGAACCGATGGTTGCCAGGATCACCTGGCCGTCCTAATCAAACAAAGCGTAGGAACGTCTGCGCAAACATTACGTCCATGATCGTGACCCGGAAGAGCGAGTGCCGAAAATATTGAACCGAGTGCTCATATTACCGCGGCTACTCGCAAAACGACGACGCGAGAGCACGAAAGAGTAAGAAAAAAAAACGTAGTGTCTGTGTTGGGCGCCGCTTTTGTTTTCCGTTCCCACATTATTCACAAGCCGCCGAATTAGCACAGCGTCTCCCGATTATCTTCGATTATTATCTTCTTGTGGATCTAATTTCCCGCTAACTCGATTGCTAAACAGGGGGAACGATAACGCGTTGTGATATAATCTCGCGTAAAAAAATGGCCACAGCAAAGTTTTGTAGTCACGTCGTGTTTATCGAACATTCAATAAGTTTCGTTAATGCGTAAAAAGAATATATAGTTGGTTGATACCGTTGCTTAATGAGCGATCTGATATAAAAGAATTTAATATACAGCTCGAGATGAGATAGAATAATAAATCATTTTCAAATATATCCAATTTCAGTGATAATTTTTACCATTTCCCTGAGTTGTACTGATATGACGTACATCGAAAAATTTACGGAAATATATCACTCAAAATCACGAAATATAATGACTATTCTACCTTCACATACCTTTAACTCCTCTATTTCTGTAGTCTGCTGACTATACCTCTCCTCCAACATGGACGTCACCTTCGTAACTAACCCTTCTTCATATTTTTTGTTGGCCTCTCTGATTTCACGTATAAATTCTAAAGCAAATAGTTCATGCATATAATATAGTGTTTGTCCTATGTAAGAATACTTCAATCTATTGATAAAGATTGTTATATTTACAGTTATCTACCTGATAACATCCCAGGTTGATAGTCTGAAGAGGCACAGTGTTTGTATTGTACCAATTCAGCTTTCATACTCTCAAAATATGATTTGGTTACACTGAGTTCTTTAAACAGTTGGCTGTTATACTTCTTCAGATCTGTTATCTGTAATGTAACATATGAGATAGACATATCAAGAATTATAAACAAAGAAGCAAGCTTGATAGAGCCTATTCATTATACAAGGCCTTATGTACATATGTATATGTATATGAAAAAGCACACATGTGTATGTGTATAATCACACATATATATTTACATTGCTATTAAACCCAAAGATACCAACCTGTTCCATGAGCGACAACGCCAGTTTATTGGTGCGTCCAATTGTGATCACCGAACTTTCGCTCTCGACAGAATCATCGCTGTCCAGATGAGAGGAAACCTTGGCAGGACCGAGCCCGGGATCGGAATATCTTCTGTGTTCTGAATTCAGTTCATCTCCATTGATACCACTGTCGGCAGTGGGTGGTAGACTAGCGTAATCTCCGTTCTGATGAGCAATATGTACAGCGGACTCTAAACCATTTTCCTGTGCGTTGCCGTAGCCATTGGCAGCGTTATTGCCAGCCTTGAAGCAAGCGTTTGGTAAACGCTCGCTACGGACAGGCCTAGATGTATTATGATGGACGGCTCTAACATTCGTCACCGGTACAGGTTGGTACAGGCTGTACATGGGTGGCAGTGAAACTGGCTGCATGGTATATGTGACTGGCATCGGCGAATAGCCGCATACACTCGGATCAGACATTGCGGTGAACAGACGTTGACCATTACTCTGCATGTTCTGTGGCATGTTCGACGGCCACATCATCCGCGGAGGATGATACTCCATACCCGACACCATCTGACCGCCATCCTGACTGTTCTGCTGGCCAGAGTTCCACGCGTCCATTGTGTTGTTTCGGCGACTGGATCGCCTCTTCGATTTCTTCGGCATGTTGTGATAAGACGGTGTCGACGCGTCCGACAACCTGTGCGCGAGAAGAAAGAATAGTGTATACAAAACATAACCCCGTCGCGGGGCAAGACGCGAGTTCTATGAATCTCGTACTAACCTGTTCTCCATTTCGGCCAACGACTCGGTGCGCATCAAGACTCGATTCCGTGTGACAACGGGCACGACATTCACGGGGCGTTAGGGACGTCGGGAGGGTCGATTGGCTTGAAATTATTCGACGTACGAACCGCGAAATCGTAGGATGTCCCCGAGATGTTCTTGGCTTTTTCAGCGCCAATGACACAGATCACAACCTTCGCGCTGCGTGCGTCGATGCGTATTGGCGCGCTCGCACGTTCCGTGCGCGAGGTTCGCCTTACGATTACCGACGTTAGTCATCGACGGGAACGGAGGGACAAATCGGCCGATATCGCTGGGATGGATGTTGAGATGGTTTCGTGCACGATCATGCCTCATGATGCGGCCATCCGCGAGAAGAACACGGCCGAATCGAACCGTTGATGAATCGATTGTTCTGGATTTTTGATGTTTCTTTCTTCAAACTTTCACGAGGCTTTCACACTAATACCCGTTTTTACCATCTCGGTTCAAGTCTAATCGACGATTAACTCGATGGAACTGACTAATCGCACTGGCGATCAATTAACTGGTCAATACAATTGGTCAATTTCATTGAGTTAATCGTCGATTAGATTTAAATTATGACGGTAGAAACAAGACGTAAGAAAAATAACGGTTACATAGTCGAGATTCCAACCTCAGTCGGCAGACTCGATCTATCGATAACACACGGATGGGTTCGTGGATTTTAGGTGCTCTTTTCAGCCACAGTCGAGAGCTGTCACTATCGTCGCGAGCAGCAACAAAACCTCGAAGTGAGCGATGGCAACTAAAGAGAAACAGGTGGGAAATAATATTTCTAAGCCGATCTTCTGCGAGTTATCCGCTAACGAGCTAGAGCCGGAAATCACGGAGATCGAGAGTTTGTGCACGGATTGCGGTAAAAATGTAAGCGAACGCAAGAATGCGCGAACTTTTACCGAATGAACATCTCTAACCTTATCTACCTGTTCACAGGGTATCACCAAGCTGTTGCTCACGAAAATTCCGTATTACAAGGATGTGGTGCTCATGTCCTTCGATTGCGAGCACTGCGGCTATCAGAATAACGAGATACAAAACGCCGGCAAAATCGGAGAGAAGGGGATCAAAATAATGTTGCAGGTCTCGTCGCCGCAAGATTTAAATCGTCAAGTGGTCAAGTCCGACTACACCAGCGTTTTTATTCCTCACATAGATTTCGAGATTCCTGCACGTTCCCAGAAGGGCGAGGTTACAACGGTAGAGAGTATTATAGATAGGAGTATCGCTGCATTGGAGCAGGATCAGCCAAGGCGCCGGGAAGAATTCCCGGATACCGCAGTGGCGATAGATTTATTTATTAGCAAATTACACATGCTGAAGATATTAGAGGAGCCTTTCACCATTATTTTTCAAGATGTGTCAGGGAATAGCCACATAGAGAACCCGAAGGCACCGCTCAAGGATAACGGATGCACTGTAACGTATTTCAAGAGAACGAAAGAACAGAATCACATGTTGGGATTTTACTCAGACAATGAAGATGCTTTGCTCAAGCCGATACAGGAGGGAGAATACTCTTTGGAACAATTTGAGGGCGAAGTAATGACTTTTCCTACCAATTGCCCGGATTGTAACAGTCCTTGCGAAACAAATATGAAGCTGACAAGTATCCTTTAATTGTAAGATCAGATTAAATTATTATATACAATGTAATTTCCGGATCTCTCAAAGTAACATCAATTATTTGACTTCCAGTCTACTGTAAATTATATAGGAATATTAATGGAAATTTCATGTAGACAGTAATGCTTGTTCTTGCTCGAAACTTTTCCTTAATGCAGCATTTAGACATACCACACTTCAAGGAAGTCGTTATAATGGCCACACTTTGTGAATATTGTGGTCACAGAACTAACGAGGTCAAAAGTGGCAGCGGGATCGAGGATCAAGGAGTCAGAATTGAAGTAACGATCACAGGTAAGGAGGATTTCGGTCGTGATTTGCTCAAATCCGAGACTTGTGACATGGAGATACCCGAGCTCGAACTGGAAGTTGGCCCGGCGACTTTGGGCGGTCGTTTTACGACTGTCGAAGGTATCATAGCAGCGATGAAGGAACAGCTGTCCACATCTACAGCTTTCACCGGCGATACCAGCGATTCGGAGACTGTGAAAAGGATGGAGCTATTTATCGTGCAGCTAGAAGAGGTTCTGAACGGCCAGAAAAAGATAACCCTGATTTTGAACGACCCGGCTGGCAACAGCTATGTGCAGAGCCTCTCCGATGACGGGCCTGACGGTAGATTAAAAATCACAAAGTATGACAGAAGCTTCGAGCAGAACGAAGAACTTGGGCTCAACGATATGAAAGTAGAGAATTATTAGGTTTTTATTGAAAGAGACGAACGAATGTCCAAAGTACTATCATCGATGTACAAAGAGACAGTGATGGCTAGACGATGAGATGAGTACGTTTTCAACGTATTAGGCTGTCGTTGATGTAACATAGGTTTTATTGTTGAACTTTATCATGTAAAAAATATAAATTTTATATTATTTTCACAAAGTAGAATCTGTGCTGCAATCTGGTGTCCTGCGTTACCTTTTCAATCGCCTGCATCCCTAAAATAGAGAAATTTTCACATATTTTCATGCGATTGATTTTTATGCGAAAGTTATATTGATAAAAGTGATTCAGCGAAGCATTTGATGTAGATATCGTACGTGGTGTGCACAATCGGTATCGCGTCGAGTTTCTTCAGACCGGGCAACCGTCTGACAACTTGCAAACGCCATGATTCCGCGTCCATAGTCTCGCATATAGGATTGTTGATGAACAATAGCTCCTGGAGATTAGGTATCTCCTGCAGACGATTAAGTTCTGCCCAATCTTTCACCAGATTGTTGCCCATATACAGGACCTTGAGCGCTTTTAGTGCACTGACACCCTTGATCTTCTCGATCAAGTTGTAGGATATCCATAACTCTTCCAAGTGATCTCCGATTGCCTCTATTCCCGAGAACGTCTTAATGTTGTTTCTGCTCAGTGACAAGATCTTCAAATACTTCAATGTACCGATACCGCTTATTTTCTCGATCATATTCGTCGACAAGGACAATTTTCTGCGAGTGTTTTCATGAGATTGTTTCATTGGTTTTTAAAAGAGATTGTGTAAAAATTTTGTGTAATTTCGTGAAAGGATAACGAACTCGACGTTAGTCAATACTGCCAAGCTATTGTCCATTTTTTCGATCGGAGGCCACTGGAAGGATAATATTATCTCTATTTGTTCGCTCGCCACAAGTCCTGTTTTTTCCTCCCATCTTTGAATAGCTTCTTTACATGTTGTCGCCCTAGCCTAGACGTTGTTTTAATTATATTCATATTATAGTGAATTATTTCAAGCATATTTAAGATTTGTTACCATAATTTACGAATAATGTTAAGTTTTATCGAGCGATTGCGTAAATTCTTCCTCAAGATGCGGTCATACATGAAGTTTGACGCTTTTCAAATTTGACGCGTATGCGAGTGAAAGTAACAAAAATGTCCCTGAGCTTCCTGCACCTATGGTCAGTCGCAAGAAGGGTGCAACACTTTCGACAAGTTTCGTAAGTTGCGCATTTCTTATTCAATAGAAAAATATATCTCCCGAGAATTACTAAAAAAACAAATTTTCTTATTGGGCACGGGATGAGTTCCGAAACTTATAAAAAGAAGTGTTGCAACCTTTAAAATGCCATTAAATTTTCTAGCTAGTTCCAAATAAAAAAATTACTATACGGACTTCCCGGTTCTAGGGAAATTCCATACGCGCTAGTCAGCTCGGAACTAGAATCCAACCAGAGACGTCGTTAGATCCTTCGAGAAGATTTTAGGAAAGTTGCAAATTCTGTTTTCATTCGGCTACCGACATTCTTTTGTCTTGGAAAAGAGGTTGTCCAATCGGACGTCAGTTCTAGACGTAATGTGAGCGGACCTCGCGTTAACCTCTCGGACATGAACGTATGTAACACTGCACTGATGCAATGTTCACTTGAATTGTTCACAATGAACAAGCTCTTCAGAATTTCCCGTTATCGTTTACTTTTATGAAGATGAAAAATGGTGAGCGAAATTGAGAAGCCGACGACGGGTACGATCAGCGTTCATAAATCGTCAAACCACCCGTGGCGGAATCCAAACTGGCCAATGGCCGTTGCGGACGCGCGTTTCACGTCGGCTCGTTGGCCAGCCGTCCGTCAGATGCGCTGATACGCGCACTGGCTGAAATCAGTCGTGTCGCTCGCGAAACGTGTGCCGTCCAGTTCGACTGTGTGTTCCCGATACCGCCGATAAAATGCCGAAGAAGGACAAGGTACGTGCGTAGTCACCGCATGCCGTCGCCGTCGTCGCTGTTGCTCCTCGTCGCCGTTGACGATTTACCTGCGCGCGCGGAACTCTCGCTCCACGTCTTCCCGGTGGTGGTGGTTCTGCGTGCGAGAGACAGAGAGGAGGACCGAGAGGAAGAGAGAAAGGGATAGCGGTGTCTCCGCTGCGCGCGCGAGGAAAAGCGAGACGGCGAATTCAGGGAGGGAGAGGAAACGCGAAAGGGAGCGAGGGAGAAAGACTTAGAGACAGAGAGTAGAAGAGAGAGAGAAAAAGAGATGAGAAAGGGAGAGTGCGAGAGGAGCGTCGCACTCGATTGAGAGGAATTGGGGGAACAACCCCGGCAGGCGGATCTTCTCGTGAACCATCCGAGGGTGTAGAGCGTGAACCTCGGTTTCTTGACCCGATCCCGATTCCGCGCGCGCCAAAGAAACCGTCGTCGCCGCCGCGCGTTCACCGCTCTACACTTCGGCCCTGCTCGTCGCATCCGAGCGGAATTAATCGCGCGTGCGGTGCGCGATCGCCTCCGTGCACGGCCCCGTTCTCGTCGCTCTCATTGCGGACGCGCACGTCGTCGACGCGACGACGACTACGACGACGACGCGCGCCGCTGCTTACTCGGCCGCGCGCCCGGAACAAGTGCAATGGTATAAAACACACACACGCACGCACACGCCTATACTTTCCTTCGTCGTTCGTGCGTTTCTTCGCTCGCGTCTCTCTCGCGCTTTCCATTCCCGACGACGACGACGACGACGCTACCTTCTCTCACGCTGCTCTCCTCTCGTCCTTCGTGCGTTTCTCACGTCGCAAGTGCGCGAGAGTTCGGGAGTGCGAGAGCGCGAGTCAGCGAACGTTGCAACGAATCGGCCCCCTCGTCGTCGTCGCTGCAGTCCGCCCGTTGGTACTCACCATACTCACTATGTTCCAGGAGACGACGAAGGGCAGCAAGGACAAGGCGAAGAACGGCAGTAAAGACGTCGAGACCGGCGATGAGGTAAGGTTATATTCGCCCTCTCTCTCTATCCCACCTAGCACCCCCGTCGTACCTCTTCCCGTTATCTTACACCTCGCGACTTCTATCATCGTGGATCGTCGGGTGCAAGCGTGCGTGACGTTTACGTTTCCATCGTGTCGTCGCACGATGCTGCCCTTTGCGACTTTCTCGGGAGCATTCAATGAGCTTTTCGGTGACAGATCGGCCGCGTGGCCGACATCCCGACATCTTGCGTACCTCGCCGACTTTTTGGTCGGTTTCGCCTGAGCCCTTGATACGTCCACCTCGTACGGTATGTGCATTTATGGATACATTTATCCATACGTGCATATAACGTCTCTTGTAACGGTTCCTTGTGTGTGTTGAATTTATTCAAAGATTTTCGTATTTCTACAGCAGCCTAGTGTTGATTAAACGGTCCACGTTGTTTCTATCGTCAGAGCTGTGTATGTGCCACATATTGGTCGATGGAGCGGATAACAGGGCACATTTTGCTCTTCTTCACTCTGGCATAATGTTCACCAGTCCCTGCGCGGCAGCACATTGTACTGTTTATGTAATTAGCACCAAAGCGGTTAGTGTTCTATGGCTGTGATTATTGATTAAGGGAGTATTTATAAAACCAACATTAATAGCGCAGAGTTATGTTATAAATAACATTCTTTAAAAAGGCACAATTTGCTTGGATGCCATAGTTACACGATGGCGGTACATCTGAAACTTACACGTGATATTTTAGTGCTCAAACTTGTGATATTTATGAAATTTACCGAATTTCTTTTTCCTCTGTTATCAAGAATTCCTTCGGCGAATATCTCTCTCTTTCTCTTTATACTCTCTTATCAAATATTACATGCTTGAGAACATTAAATCTCAATAATTAACGTCGACGTTTGCTTAATTGACACGAGGAGGCTCTCCGTTAGCTTTATTTGTACAGTTTGTATATTTGATCTTCAAAGAAAAAGGATCAATGTCTTTCGAAGGTACATGTATCCAAGCTCGTTTTCATAAATCTTGAATCAAGTCAAATGATCAAGCGATCACACAAGTTACATAATTACGAGTTATGTATTAAATATTAATTACAAGTCAAACTTTTCCAATGGACTTATCTTTACTTTGAATATTATCTGTTATCGCGCGAGCCTCATTATCGTGTTTTCGGATAATAGTTCCGTGTATTATCCGGCGATAAATACTTTCTCAGTAACGAGGCTACCGCCGCGGTAGGCTCGCTCGGAAGGAGTGCTGTTTGTATATTTGATATCGTTCAATGAGCGATCTAACGCGTCAGGACGGGTTCGTTATTCACCGAGCACCGAGATAACGATAGTTATCGCATGGTTGAAACCGCTCCGAGCTAGATGGCGCACCTGTGACGTCAAGGGCTCGTAGCGAACGCCGTATAATATTGCAAGAAGCACGGCTACCCATGCGTGTTATATCGTGTGCAAAAATAAACCACACACGGTGGAGGAGACCACGGCGAAATACCGCGGTTCTATTCGGCTGTCTTCCCACGGCGATCTCCGCGGACTCCTCCCCGCAGGACGCGTCCCGCGGCGTGTACGATCGTTAACGCCTAATTATGCCGGTATTATTATATACCTCATAATTATAGAGTGACGATACTCGAGAGGCAAAAGTCGCCTGCCGAAGTTGCTACCAGGCCATCGAATCGTGAGTTCCCGGACACCTGTTCCGCGAGGAATTCGCGTACTATCTTACAAGTGGAAACTCGCTAAGCCTTATCGCATCGCGAATACTTTCGCGACGGTAAAACTTTCACGTTGTATCAGGGCCCGTTCTGCGCGGAACGACGTCGCGAGCGAAGAAGCGACTGTTTCAAGCGCACTCTCTCAGCCGCCGTGAGATATTATGTTCTTGAACTTAGGACTTCTGCCTCTGTTTTTTTTCCTTGTTCTTTTTCTTTTTCTTCTCTGCGCGAGGTAACCATTTGATTCTTCCTTTCTTCGTAAATTGTGCCACCAGTCCGGCGCTACGCGTTCTGATGCGATTACGTGCCCGAACTATCGCGCGGGAGGAGAGCCGTGATAAAAATTTCGCGACGTCCGTCCTTCCCGTGGAAATTGAATTACGTAAGAAATCGCTTTGCATAATCCGGCTGTGCTCTCGACGTTCTGACGTGAAATTCCGTCGCTCATCGTGCGCTAATTCCACATCTTTCGTACCTCCGCACCTCTCCTCTCTTTCTCTCTCGCTTCGATATACATAATCGATATCGTATTAATTTTGCACGTAACGGTAACGTGATGTTACGTAAATGTTTATTCGTTCCATTAACATATGTGGATTCTCACGATGTCGAAGATTTAGACTGACTTTTGATCTCGTTTCGCCCCTATCGCATTCCGTCGTTTATCGACATTTCGTTTCACGCGTCGTTAAATTTATATTCATAAATGTAATAATATTTATCAGGAGTCAACAGACAATGGATACGCGAAGCAGATATTCTGAAAAAAATCGACGTTCCCCCGTTTAATCCTCTAATGGCAAGATGGATTTTCAACGTGTCTAAAAAGGTGGGATCAGGTAGGACTCCAGGCTCTGTTTTCTACATTTTTCATATAATCAGTGTACATATGTAATGGTTAAAAGAAGTAAATAACAACATTCGTTAAGAAGAAAAAGCGCTCTAAAATAATCGAGACCGTGAGATAAATCTGATCCTACCTTACACTGAGAAAAAAAAATAGTCCGATCTACCAAATCGGCAGTCACCCTCGTTCAAGGAAATGTTACGTCCACTGAACAAATTGACGTAACAATATATCGCGTTGGTACAGTTACTGAACAAATCGCAATCGTTGAATCAACTGATAACGCATCACATCTAATTTGTGTTCACTGGTTTAGTTGGACTAAACGTTGCGCGTGAACACAAATTGTGCTCATTTAAGCGAAATTTCGTTGATTTACCCACATCAAAGGATCGAATAGATCCACTTTGAGCGCGCGAAAATGATCTCGGATAAGTGACAGGGATTATCCACGCAATTCCTTTTCCTCTGTTTTCCCGACCGATCATTATAGAAAGGTATGAATGGTGCTAAGTGCGCGTCGATCCAATGTCAAACGCGCTATACTTATGCACGTACGCACGCACGCACGCACACACGTCCTCGCGCGCGCAAACATTATAGATACTTATGTTACCACTTGACCGCCGTATCCGCCACGTGATCGCGGACCGCGTGTTGGACTTTAATTCGTCGGTGTGCAGGGTGATGATGTACGAAAAAAAGCGTTACTCCGTCGTTTTAAGGCCCGTGCACAGGAGCCGCGCTACGTACACGGCGATATGTGAGATAAATTTATTAACGCCCGCGCCGTGAAAAGGTGACGTAATCGCGGCCGCTCATCGCCGCGCGCGATTAGCTATCGCATTTGGCAGTGTTGGTGTGTACCTTACGATAGTCAAGCACATGACGGCGCGTCTGAGGGAGCGTATTTCTAAAATAAGTGTCGCGCGCACGAATTATGAGTCCGTGGATCGTCGTGGTGTGGTGGTAGTGGCCGCGGTGATCCGCCCAAGTGGAAATCACTTTTCCGTGTCTCTACGTTTTCTCGCGAAGTGATGCAATTTTTGCGACGCGCGTTCGTAGCGTGCCGCTGAACGCCCCGTTCGTGTAACGTTGAAACTCGATCGAGTGTGTGCGTATTGCGCGTGCATGCGCGTGTGTGTCTTTGTGTGTACGTGGAACTGTCACTTCGACGCGATAATGTATCCGCGTAGTTTACACGGCCGATCGTGCCAACGCTTCTAGTTATCGGCGCGCATACGGCACTGGCTGAAGTTAGTAGTAAAAATAATAATGATGATCGTGCGTTAATAACAACTTCGTCAATTTCGTCGCATCGCGATATTTATTTTTGGAAAACCGCCGCGCGCACGCATCTTCGTGGCTCGCGGCGCGGCGCCTGTGTTAATGAGAGATCAGGCAGCGATCTCGTCGGCTGTCACGCAAAAATCCGCCCGCCGAAACCACGCGTTGGAAAACGGCATCTTCACCCTCCCCCTCCCCTCTCTCTCTCTCTCTCGTCCTCCCTCTATTTCGAGCGCCGTGCGAAATAGAAAGCGCGCTAATAATAGTTAATACCGATGGTGCATTCCAGGCTGTGTCGCGCGTCGGCCGCTTTTTCGTCGGCGATTCGAGGGATCCGGGCTCTGATACACGCGAAGTTACAGCTCTCCCTTTTCGAAAATAGCGAGACTTTTGAGCGGGAGGGAGCCGGGAGGTACGGAACTAATAATATCGTGGAAACGGGACAGCCTGCATGAATATCGTACACGTCGATTCTCCATCGCGATGGAATCCCGACCGGGCGGACGAAGGAACGCGCGCGGCTTCTCCGGCCGGTATCTTCCCTGTGAAATCGCGCGTAGAATCCTGTCGCGAATAATGGATAATCTAAAACAGGCTTTAAACCCACGGTGACTGAGTGGCTCGTTGACAAAATGCGCGGCGGGCACGTGTCGCTTTTGTCACCCCGCTAATAACCGCGTGTGGACAAACGCGCTCGCGCGCGGTTTCCCGGTGCGCGCTTCTCTTGTATGCGCGCGTGAGAAAGACAGAGAAAGACAGATGGATAGAGATACGCGTATATTTGCACAGGTATTCAGAAATAGTAACCGGGCATTGTCGTTTCGTCACACGGCGCTTAAACCCGCTTCATCATCATTGTTGGGGAACAACGAATGACAGGAAGACAAACCGGACGGCGCACAAAAGACCCCGCCGCCGCCGTGTTCGTAATTGTCCTGTCGATACGCGCATATTTCTGTGTTAATATTTCTCTGTACGATGTATCGCGCGGACAAAGAGAGAGAGAGAGAGAGATACGGCGTTAATGCGAGTTTATCGATAATGTTACTCCCGCGACGTGAATTTCCGAGGATTCCGATTCACTCCTCCTCGGCTTACTCGCTTGAACAGGGCAACGGGTTTGCTCCCGCGTTGCGATTAACTTACGACGGATCGTGAAGCGCGCGCTCGCGAGAATTAATAGGTCGACTTATTGTCCACTTATTGTGTCGTTATCGCTCTCTCTGATCCTAGAAACTTTTTCACTGTCGCATTACGCGCGATAATATACGGACATGTAAATACGTTACGTAATATCGTGTTCGCGATAACGTCGTGCACGCAATTTTCATCACGCTCGCGAGTAGATACTGATCATCGATCTGACAAGGGAAAAGAGAATTGGTTCGCACTGCTAAAATTTAGCTGTCCATATAATACAACTGAAATTTAGCTCCTTCTTTTTGTCCCTGTGCTTAGTTTTGAGCTCCTACAGCTAAAAAACTAGATTTGGCAACTCAATTTCAGTTGTATTGCATGATAATTCCTTTTTCCCGTGTACGAATCGCGTCTCGGTATCGACTCCGGTTATTTACTTCGAAAAGTTCCGGAGGTTTGCGCGCGATTTAACAGGGACAGACTGCGGATTCCTCCGCCAGCTTTGATATCCGCGTTACCGTATCGATGTTGTAATCTCCACGCCACATCGTCGATAACAAGCATTTTTCCGTCCGTCTCCGAGGCAACGTGCGCTCGTTTCATCCCGAGCACATCAAAATAAGACTGGAGAAGAGAATGGAGATCTTCATCTTCTTATTCTTTACATTTCATTTTCCTCATGTCTTTCGGCCCTAAACCTTCTTCGACCCACCCTTACCGTGGAGGGCGCGGTTCGGTCCGAGACGAAATCTTTCTAGACGGTTCCTCGTCTATCGCGAAAACGCGATACAAGGAGAGAGAGAGAGAGAAGAAGATGCCACGGTGGGACACGGTGTATGCGTGCGTGCACACGTGTGTACACATATGAGAAACACGTATTGCGTGTGTGTATATATGTGCCACCTCTCATTCTCTCTCTTTCTCGTGCGCGAGATGAAACGTAATTTCTTGTAATTGGCGTGAGGGTTAAGGTCGTACGTGGCGGCCTTGAACGATCGGCGTCGATCGGACGGCGGCGTGCCGCGAGAGCCGATCGCTCGCCAAAACCTGCGGTGTGTGTACGTACGAGAGTGTCGCAAGTGGCTGCTGCTGCTGCTGCGATTCTCGGTCACGAGTGCACGCTGCCGCTCGCCTCTGGCAGTGTGCTCTCGTCGCCGTCGCCGTCGTCTCGGTCGCCGCCGCCGCACCGTAAAGCGTCTCGCCAGGCGATCTCGGGCGTCGCGACGTCGGCGACTCTGTCGTTTCGTGTATTTTTCTCTCTCTATCTTTTTCCCTCTTTATTTCTCTTTCTTCGTCCGTCATCGCGTGTTTGCGTATTTTTCTCTCCCATTTTCTGTCTCCCTCTCTCCCCTTCCCCCCTCTCTCTTCTTCCTCTCCTCTCCTCTGCTCGCTTGCTCGCTGGTTCGCGCGTCGCAACGGGCGAGTTCGGAGAGAAACTCTCTCTCCCGAGCTCGGCGAGAGAAAACAGTGTCGCGAGGATCCTCGCGGATTTCTCGAATGGGAACCGGACGACGACGCGCGGCGTACATATCATCATCGCGGCGCATCGCGTCGGCAGTCCCGAGCGCGCCTTTGTCCACGTCGTGAAGAGCGCGCGCGGCTAGACGAGGCCACGAGAATACTCACCGCGCGCGTCCAGTGGACAGGCCGCGTGGGGAAATATTTATATCCCCCTTTTCGCGTGCGCGGAGATGCCGCGAATTCTCTGCCGCGTCCGCCGAAGCCCGTGGAAACGCCGCGCCGTGTTCCGCTGCTCCTCCTCCTTCTCATCGTCGTCGTCGTTGGCGCGGACCGCGATCGCTTTCCGGTCGCTGGGTAAAGCCAGTTTCAAAGTTGGTCGATGTTTTATGTATGAAGCCGAACCGTAAAACTCGATACGCGCGGAAGAGACTGGTTTACGGTCGTTGCGAAAGCTGAGCGGTTTATTTGTTTATCGGTATATAGGTGCTTTTGTTTATCATCGGAGAGAATACGAGATCGTAGACCCGAGAGTGTCGCCGAGGAGGGAGCGAATAAAACACTGCGCGAGTGGAGTTACGTTCGCGGATCGAACGGCATAACGATGTCGGCGCGATCGTGATCCCCGGATTCGTCTTCAACAATCGCGCCGGAGCCGGAGGATCGGGGGGAGTTCGTGTTCCTCGACGCGGTGGAATTGCGCGTTATCGGTATTATTCGTGAATTATGTCACGTCGGCTCCCTTTCGAGTATCGCCACTCGGAAATATTGAGTTACAAAACATCGCGTGACGGCCAGCGACATAAAGATAATATTTACTCTCTCGTCGCACTTTCGATTGTCAGGCGACTAAAATACTCGACGAGCAGCAAGCGCCGCCGCGAACGTCGGATCCAGCGGATAGAGAGGGAGAGAGACGTCGGCATCGCGCGCCGTGCCGCTTTTCCTAATCTTGGATAAGAGAGACGGTCTACGCGACGTTCTTGCCCAGACACTTCGTTCCACCGACTTATTTTTGTACGTACGCCCGCGTTTTCGCGCGCAAACTAGTTGCAAGAGAGACGTCCGCCGTAGCCGTTGCAAATAGATCGTGCGACACGTGCACCCGTCATTAATCGCCGACATACTTTACCTGCTCAATGGTCGAGCTTGGAATTTCGCGACAATGCACTTGTGACGTTGAAGAAGAAGAAGCGCGATCCGAGGCCGGTTCGCGCGCGCGCTTTTCTCACGTACGGGAGAGATGTGATCATTACTATGCAATTATTACCATCTTATTAGCGGCCGAAACACAGTGAGCTTTCTACGCTCCAGAGTGGAAATCGTAACTTGAAAGTCGACTTTTCGCGTGCCAGTGGACTACGCTCGAGCGAGTCGCATTTTTCTCGTATCGGGAGATAAAACCATTTTGCAAGATCTCGCATAGACGCACACACACACACACACACACACAAACACCGAAGTGGTAACGCCTGTGAAGTATATCCGAAAAATCGATTCGCTGCTTTAGGCTTGAGAAAGAAAGAAAGAAAGGAAGAGAAATCGCCGCGTTCCTCGCATATCTCGCGGAGGTATTCTCGGGCGTGCATTCGGGGGATGCACCCTCGGGTCTTGCCGGCGGATTTTCGCGAGGCGGAGGATGCGAACGGTGGAAAGCGGATATTCTCGGTAGCTCGTGAATGAGAGAGAAAGAGGTAGAGAGAGGGAGAGAGAAGGAGAGCCGGTGGAGCACCACCACGGTCTGTGTGTGATTGAGATTCTCGTCCCGTGAGAAGGCAGCCGGGGGATCATCGCGAATGCGAGAATCATGTTGCGCCGCGAAGACGCCGCGAGACCGTTTTTCCTGGGGCGGCCTGCCGATAGACTGTGTCGATAGTGAACCTCCTACCTGGGCCGATCGTACCGTGACACGCGCGCTGGAATGCAGAGCAAAATGCAAACACTCAGCGGACTCGCCTTCGGGAATGTGTTCAAGAAGAAGGCAAGTGTTCCCCGAACGAACGAAACCGTACGACAGCTCGTCGTGTGCGATGTCGGGGATTTAAATCGACGCTCGCTTTAAATATCTCTCTCTCCCGTGAACGATCGGGCGATTCAGAGCCTTTGTTCGGTGGTCAGGATGTGCACATGTGCTCCCATGACCGAGTTCGTTTGTGGATTGCTTTTGTTGAAGTTGCAATTGCTTCGGCAGTGTGGTCAGTCGCTAAAAGGTTGCGTCATCTTTTTGTCGGTGAGTTTTGCAACGCATTTCGTATCCAATAACAGGATATATCTCCTGAGAATTGCTGAAAAACATATTCTCCTATGACGAGATGCGTTTCGAAACTTATTAAGAGAAGTGTCGCAACCTTTTGTGTGACTTATCATACACGGAGAAAACTGCTAACAACGTCGGCTGAAAGGTGCATTTATTTCTCAGCGTTTAAAGTATATTTTATCAGTATACACACGTAATTATCAATATACACGTGAAAAAAGCGACTCAATTCCTGTAACTGAATAGGGACCAGATGAAAACTCGATAACAAGAAAACTCGGTGATAAGAAATTATATCTCTGTTATCACCGTTGAGAACATTCGTGCAGAACATTCAGGTGCGTTACATCTCGATTAAGACAACTGAGAAAGATTAACTACGTGGAAAGTTCCTATAGGAATCTTTCTAATTCCTACAATCGAGTTTTTATCTGGTCCCCAGATAACGGAAAATTCAGTTAAAGGTACTAATGCCTGAGCATGTATCTAACTGTGGACATTCTTGTTATTTTCGTTAGTTTTTAAATACGAATGCATAATCATTAAACTTAAAATATTTATATATATTCAACATTATATATATATATTCTGCGTTGGATATTCGTATTTAAAGACCAAAACAACAAGAATGTGTGTCCAAAGTTAGATATGTGTCCACGTATTGATACTTTTACGTTAAAGGAATTGTTTTTTTCACGCAATGAAAATGCATTTTCAAATTCTTTGTAAATATGTTATCAATGCCGTCGGGATTGTAATATCCATATTACGATTACCCTCATTAAGATTGGGGCAACCATATTTAGCCAAGTGATATCCCTAGTGTTTCCTTCGTGTATATATTAGTTTAATTTGTGGAATTCTCTGAGGACTGAGGACTATTCGATCTTATAACACTAGCGTTCTCTTAAGGTAATAATAGCGCTGAGTCCATCAATTTCCAATGGTGCATCAAAGGGGTCACTCGTAAATTTAATATTTATCAAACAAAATTACGTTCCTATATATTTATTTCACTGTCTAAATAATAGATATTAATTTGAAATGAAATTGAGATAGATACACAATATTACAAATAAGAAAATATTATTTTCTTTTATTAATATTATTTTTATATATTAAGTGATCTAATGAGAGATGGAGATGCACAGATAATAGAAAGAGATATATGTGTTTAAATATATACATATGTATATATATTTAGAGTATCAATATGAATTATGAATTTTACACTGTTGTATTTCCATCACAAAATAGCTAATAATTCTGAAATTTGTGTATAATGCATTTAATACCATAGTAGTCCATCATTAAAATCTTATTTTTAATTTAGTAGATATTAAAAAGCTATTTAGAAGATATTAAATAGCCGTTAAAAGTAGCGCGCTAATTTCAAGGAACACGTATAAAAAGTGTCAACTTTAGTTAGAAAAGTCTTAGCTCTCGAATGGTCAGTCTTCTTCTAATTCCGCCAATAATTGAGTCATATTTCCAAATCTATATATAATGCAAGTTTCAATGGATCCTTAAAAAACTCATTTTATGCTATTACTACCTTAAAAGTGCGTATACACCTAACGAACAAACAGCGAATGCAAACTTTCGTCGTTACATTTTGGAAAATACGTATGTCGTAACAAATGTTCGAACAGAACGTCTCGGGCCGATTTGCTCGTGAGATGACTTGGATGGTTCTAAAGAAAGTTTTTCCGCGTTTAAACGCGAACATATCACACGTTCGCTGTTCGTTTGTTAGCTCGGGCTGTTCCTAGCCATTATCGGCAAAGAAGAAGGTAGAACGATTCGAAACTTCTCGGGGCCGACTTGAGTCCCACGTCGATAGGTTGGACCCTCTTTTTTCGGGTCGGAAAGCGTATCGGTGCGGGAAACAACGGACGTGCGTGCGAGTATGATATCGAATGCGCGTGAATTGGTTTCGCGGCGTTATCGGGAGACGTTGCGCAAAGTAACATGGAAGACTAGGAAGTGGACTGGTAACGTTCTCGCTTGCGATTGCGAGCGCGATGTATCAAAGGTTAATCGCGTTGCAGTGAATGAGCGTATCGGAGGGAAAGTCGACGACCCCGCGTACTGACACGTCGACCCTTCCTTTATAGATCGCGTCAAAAGAGCGAGAACTCGGAGATCATTTGTCCGTTCGATTGTACGTTTAACGTCGGCGAATGGGCTTGACGTGGCTCTCACTGCGAGACAGACCGCGGGACTCCGATCGGACGAGAAATAAAGTTCGACAAATTGGAACGAACCCGTTAAAAGCGGTAACGTCGATAGTATCAAACGCCCCCTCCCTCCCTACCTCTTCAGCCGCGCATATTCACTGCTCTATTTTCACCATGACCGCCGCCGTTCTTATTCGTTCGGAATGACTCCCGGTGAAAACGGGGCAGGAATGCCATTCGGAAGATGAAAGGGGAGGCGAAACGCGTGTCGCACCCTTCGCTTCGGTCCTTACCCGGGAGAATTCTCCTTGAAACAAGAGCCGTGGTAACTCCGCCACCTCCGACCGTGAACTTCGGCGACCAACCTCTCCACGTGCGAGAGTATTCATTATTCGTTCTCGTATACGCTCGCCGATAAATCGGGCTAATCGTAATACGTTCCGAGGCGCAGCGGGCCGCAAAAGTAGAACGGCAACTTCTCGCGGCGCGCCGTGAAGCGTGTTCGGTCGCGAGAGAATCGAGCGAGTCTGATTGTCGAAAAGTTTCGTCTTTGAGACCGGTACAGGATTGGAATGGAACAATAGCCTCGTGTGCGTCGTCTTATTCTAGTCGTGAGTTGTCTCGCTGCGACCCCGATGATGCGTGCTGCCTGCCGAGGCGCATCGCGTGCCTTTAACATATTTCTTTTTTACACGCGTCGTTACGTGTGCGCGAGCGTCACGTCGCGTCGCTTTCTCGCGTTCCATTTGTGTAACGTTGATCTGATCAGCGAGCGATCGGCCGCGATCGATCGATCACCTGAGCGGCCGGCGCGAGCTAATGGAAGAGGAAGACGAACAAGCGCGATATACGCGCGCCAATCGTCGGCTTCTGTTCAGATTTCACGCTTCAACCGAGCGATTATCCAAGTCTTGGAGCTCACGCTCCCGTCGTCGGGCAAAAAGTAACGCGTATATCGTCCGTTAAGCCGCGATTGATTTAACATTTGCATCTCTCGACCTTCCTACTCCGTATCTGTTTTGCGTGTATTCTGTATCTATTCTGTATCCACACTGTATTTACTTAGTATTCACTTTGCATTTGTTTTGTATCTTGCGCAGGCGAACAAGGTGACGGGGGGGACGCCGGTGGGCAATGCACCGCCTCCGCCGACGCTCATCAACAAAATCAAGTATCAGCCGGGCGGACCCGTGATCAAGAAGGACAAGCAGAGGCAGAGCAGCTCGAGGTTCAACATATCAAAGAATCGGGAGCTGCAGAAGTTGCCACTGTTGACCGGTGAGTCACTCCGGTATGCGAAACACGGCATTAGAATAAAATGGATGATGAAGTGGAAACGAGAAGCCGTTAGAAGTAAGAATAATGTAATCAAAGATGACGCGCTTACGTTCCAATATTGCATGAAAATGAACGATATTGAAGAGAGAGAGATCGAAAGCTCGCACCGTCCTTTACACACGCGTCATCGGTGATCCGTATCGCAGCTTATAATGAAAAGACACGGAATTCACACACGTGCGACCGATCGCGACTATTTAAGCGCAACACCCGACATCGAACCATGCTGCGTTCTTGAGTCACCGGGAATAAGTTGGGATTCGTGATTAACTTACCCTTCGACCGCACCCTTCCGAAAAGTCGCTCGCCTCATAAATAAGTCGTACCAACCCTGTGCGATTTTCGAAATTCCATGTCTGAAAAAGTGTGAAAGGAAAGAGGTTGACAAAATTCCGGAATAAAGTGCAATCTTCCATTTTAATGTTTGATTGTGCATTCGGAAGATTTCAAAAATTCCTGGAAAAAAATTCCAATTTAGACAGTGATTTTGCGAATGGTAATGTATTACTTAAAAATCATAATTTCTTTACTTTTTATTATTTGATCTGCGACTGTAGGGTGATGAAGATACAAGATAGTTTTATAACAGAAAAAGAAATATAATTCTCTAGTGCGCGTTCGGGAAACATATTTTTTTTAGAAAACAATGAAAAGAGGATATTTTGAAGCGTCGAAGATAGATGTTTTTTATAGGAGAAAAATATTTTTTCTTGTGAAAATATTAAGAATAGTTTACATTTCACTTGCTAAATGGTAACGCGCATTATTTACAAAATATTAAATAATTTAAGGTCACGTTTTGCGACATAGGTAGCGTAGATGCGCTCGTGTAGATTACACGGCATCCGATAGAATATATTATTTATTATTTTCTCAATATTATTTATTATTTTCGACAAAATCTAACGATTTCTCGAGAATGTGGAAAATTCATAGATCACGTACTTCTTGTCACTGTAGCTCCTCAGACACAACTCACCGGGTATATCTGACCTATAAATCGGTCGAAGAGTTAATCGGATCAACGCGCGTAACGCAACACGTTGTACGTGCAAGAAGCCGCGCATAAAGAAACCGATCATGTAACAGGTGGCTATAACAATTAGATCAGGCTAAAGATCAGGGAGGCAAACGAGTATGGCGTCAAACAAACAGAGAGGAAGATAAAACATGAGAAAATGAGAGAGGCAGGGAGTAGTAAGTGACGAGGAGGAGGAGGAGAAGTAGGGGAGGATAGGCGAGGGCGAGAAGGAGGGCGACAAATCGGTGGTTCTCCTGCCCTTTCTCAACGTGATGCCGGGTAATCGGGGTTGCGAGTGCCTCTCTGCCTACGTCAGAGTCTATCGATTGCGTTCGCGGCGGGGTTCGCGCAAGCGCTCGGGCGCGCCCGGATTCATGGTTCCCCGTTTTCCCAACAACGTAAACAGTCGCGTCGACGCCGCTTCGGGACATCCCCTTCCGACGTCTCTTTCCTTCTAACCGCCACCACCGCCGCTCTGGTGCCAGTACCCTAGCGAGAGCTCCACCTGGGCTAACACCTGGGGCGCAGCGAGTGCATCCGGAAGGGTGTATTGACCCCGTGACCGATCGAGAGAGAGAGAAGTGACCCGCGAGGGATCCCGGCGAGGACCGGCGGCGAGTTCGTCGACCTCGGCGGTGCCACTTAGGCGAATCTCGCCACCCCTCCTCCTGCGGCCGCCGCCCCCTCTCGAACGCGGTCACCGGGTTCCAGGGACCCGGAGGAACGCGCGTTCTAGTGCTCGCCGGCGAGTCGCGGGGGTGGCATCGCAGCGCGGCGAGCAACCCCGAAGCGAGAGAAAGAGAGAGAGAGAACTCTGCTTGCGCTCGCCTTCCTTTCCGACCGATCGATCGCCGATGCGTCGCGAGTGAAGCAACAGATTGTTGCGAGCGTTAAACAACGGACGACTTCGCTCGGGAAATTAGCGGTAGACCTGGCTGCTGCTACGTGGTGCTGCTGTTGTGCCGTTGCGAATCCACGACTCTCGTCGAGACCATCGAGGTTCCGGTTAAGGGCGGCCGCGCCTCCGCGGATCGTCGCAGCGCGGAGGACTCGGAGGGAGACCGCCGATTCCGGGGAGAGAAGACTGATCGCGTCGTTTTAGGGAGCAACTGGGAGCGGAATCGACGAGAGCCTCGCAAGAAATTGCGCGTTTCTCGACGGGCGACTCCGCTGGAAGTGCAGAATAGGAAGCGTGCCGATACTTCGCGGCCGCTGCTTCGCGCGAGGAGCGTAACTCGCGATTCGGCGAGGGTAGAAAAACGGCACGTCGACGTCTCTCTGTCTCTCGCCCGAGAGTCGACGCTGTTCTAGCGAGTGGCTCGCGTTTGATTTGCGTCGACGGACAGTTATGTTTCCGCATGGCTCGGCAGGACGCGTAAAACCGCGCGCCGCGTTCCATTCGTCGTCGTCGTCGTTCAAGAGCAACGCGGAGGGTAACGTGGGAAGCTGGTAAAAGTGAGACGCGATTTGTGCCGAAGGCCGGCGGCTCAATAAAGTATCCCCGTCGCGAGCAAATCGGCGGATGATCGTGGCCGGCGCGATAAAAACACTCTCCGGAAATTGCCTGGCGTAGCCCGACGGAGCCGTCAAATCCGGGAAATCCGCCGCGATTCCGTCCGCTGTGTGTGTACCCGCTGTGCGATCGCGAAGCGATCGAAATATCAGGCCGCGCCGACGCGCGGCGGATATTTCGACTTCGCACCTCGAGTTTTGAACTGTCGTCGTGACGAGCGAGCGAGCGACGGGCGCGCTTCTTCCCCCCGGAAGAAATCCGAGAGGGAAATCGCGAACGGCCAACATTATTGATCGCGACTTTGACATCGAAAAGAGAGACCAATCCCGGCTGCTGATCGCCCCAACGAAGCTGTAAGCGCGGATCCGGCATCCCACCTGCCGGAAACGGACGTCGCTCGATTTCCAAACCGAGAGCGCGTTTCGACGACTCGCCGATGTGTCCTCGGGACGAGGGAGTGTAAAACTCTGATTCGGTGCACATTGATATCGCACAATGGTTCACGTGGGCGGCATTAGTCCGTCTCTGGGCGGCGGACTGCCCAAGAGCCCCAGTTTCCATCAGGGTCTCGCCTTGGCGACGGTATTGCCTCAGGACTCGTATAAGGCGTACCCGGTGACGTTCGCGCTGCACCACGAACAACTGCAGCCTCTCCTGATCGGTAAAACTACTCTCCGTCGGCCGTCTCGCTCTCGTGGTCCTTAAACGCGACCTGACGGAAAAAATAATTAGCTCCCACAGCTAGAAATTAATTGTTCGTATAATACGACTTGAAACTTGGTCACCGGTTTCGTTTGTTTGGTTATCAAACGTAGGTTTTAGCTGTGGTAACTAATTTTTAGGGCTACATTAGTACATGGGGAAAAAAGGGCTCCCTAAAGCTGGCTAAAATATCAGAATTATAAGAGCCGGTTATTCCACCTTGGAGTAAATTTATCTAGTGGATAAATATCTGAAGAACATTCCCATACGGAAATAAACTACAAGAATATGAAAATAATTACTGGTATACCATTAAAGAACACTATTGAAGAACGATAATATATCAACAATTTTTATATTCTTGTCGTTTATTCCCGTACCTGGAACGCTCTTCAGATACTTATTCGTTAGATAAATTTATCTAAAAGTGGAACAACCGGCCTTAAGACCGGTATTTGTAGTCGGATCTTAAATATAAGGCCGTCTCGAGTTCATCTTCACATGCTGTACGGCTCATTCCACTGGCTACGAAGCATCTGAAGGTGCACTCAAGACTTAAATATAAGACCTAATTAACTAACGAATACCGGCTTAAGTCTGTGTAAATCCTGTTCTACATAAGTGTTTTAAACCTTAAGCCTTAAAAAATTGACCAATTACAGTCAAATGTGAGGAGAATAATCGACTGTGAGTGGTCAGTTTCTCGAGTTCTCTACACTATTGTAAACTTGGACTTATTAAATTTCAGTTGTATTATATGGATATTTCGTTTTTAACTGTAGGAGCTTGTTTCTTCCCGTGTTTCTCGTCTGTATAATGTAATCAATCTGATCGTTATTCAAGCGATTGAATTTTATTATATTACGCAAGGACTGGCTTTGATTGTTTTCGTACGTCGAGACCAGCTCTCTCTCTCTCCAACCGGGCGGTCAGACGCTGCTGACGTCCGCGCCGACACGGTCGCGGGTGGCTGGCTGGCGGACTCTCGCCGGCAAGTTTGGCGATCGATTTCGCTACTCCTGTTATGGAGATCGCCCGGAATAGCGGGCGATAAATAATGCTCCCCGGTGTCTCGTGCGGTCGTGATATTTTGAAGGTCGCGATCGACCTCGCGCCGTGGAAGCCCGACTTGATTAAACGGAAAAGTACTTGGGCGGTCTCGAACTTCGAATCGGGAAGTTCGCCGGGAAGCTGCCGTTTTGGGGGGCGATTGCAGCATCGATATCGGGCGAAAACGGCCTCGTGCAACGGCACATGACCGGCGGGGACCCTTCGTGACGAATAACCACCGCCGGAAAGCGGCGGAGGGACCGATTAACATCCGGAACGACCGGTTTACGGTAGATCAAAAGACACGGGCAGGAGCAAATAGAATATCGATTGCGATCGCGTGCGCTTCGCCTTTGCCGGCAGGAAATTATACCGCGTCCCGATCTCGTTATCGGGAGAATTCTTGATTAAAAGCGAGAGACTCTGCTCGCTAGTTCGGTCGAAGATCGCGAGACCGTTCCGGAATCGAGGACATTAGCGTGCCGGATATTTAGGTAACGTACTATTACCTGTTTTTTTTTTTGTTCCACGCGGCAATCGCACGATAATAATAATCGTAAATTTGTCGCTTTCCCTCTGTAGAGTGGAAAAATTCGACGATGTCTTGTAGCGCTGAAGTGTTAACATATGAAAACGATTGTGCAGGTTTCGAGCAAAAAATATCTCAGTCGTATGAAAAGAAAGGTGGCCGTGATTCGCGCAGGTGGGAAATGTTAGAGGCTGTTGGTCACGTATGCGAAATAATTCGTGCGAGGGGGAGCGAGCGAGCGACCGGAGAAGAAAGAAAAAAAGAAAAGCTCCTCTCGTTCTGTGCTCTCTCGTATTCGGCCATTCACACATATCGATATTCGTGCAGACGTGATTAATAGCGACGTGCGCGTGCATTCGTCGCGCCCGCCGTTACATCGTTCTCATTTTCCACGAAGTAAAAGCTGGGCGCGCGGTGCGGTGCGATTAATCACCAGGCTATCTGATTTCAGAAACACAACAGGCCAATGAGCGGGAGGAGCTGTTCATACAGAAGCTGCGGCAGTGCTGCGTGCTCTTCGACTTCGAGGCCGATCCCCTGTCGGATTTGAAATGGAAGGAGGTGAAGCGCACCGCCCTCCACGAGATGGTCGAGTATGTATCCAAAAACAAGAACGTTATTACCGAAGCGATTTATCCCGAGGCAGTGAATATGGTAAGCGGCATCCTGACATTCGCACGTTCTTTCTCTCTTTCTTTCTCTTTTTGCTCCGCTCTGTGTGTAGGCGCGAGAGTGCGTGCACTCTCGCGCGCGATCACACGAGACTGTTGCTTTTACGGGCCCAGCGTTCAACTACTACTTGCAGTTCGCCATGAATCTATTCCGAACGTTGCCGCCGTCGTCGAACCCCAACGGTGCCGAGTTCGATCCCGAGGAGGACGAACCGAACTTGGAGGCGGCCTGGCCACACCTACAGCTCGTCTACGAGTTCTTCCTGCGACTGCTGGAGTCGCAGGACTTCCAGCCGTCCGTGGCGAAGCGCCACGTAGATCAGAAGTTCGTGCTGCAGCTGTTGGAGCTGTTCGATTCGGAGGACCCGCGCGAAAGGGACTTCCTGAAGACGACCCTGCACAGAATCTACGGGAAGTTCCTCGGGCTCCGGGCGTATATTAGGAAACAGATAAACAACGTTTTCTATCGATTTATTTACGAAACGGAACATCACAACGGTATCGCCGAATTACTCGAGATTTTAGGAAGGTAAGGCATATATATATATATATATTCGGGGACGTGCGAGAGATCTCTCCTTCGATTTCTTCGCTCGTTGGAAGAGGCGAGGTATATTTATCGCGGTGTGTTATTTCCTGCGCAGTATTATTAACGGCTTCGCCCTGCCATTGAAGGAAGAGCACAAGGTATTCTTGTTGAAAGTTCTGTTACCCTTGCATAAAGCTAAGTCATTGTCCGTGTACCATCCGCAACTGGCGTACTGCGTCGTCCAATTTCTGGAGAAGGATCCGTCGTTGACGGAGCCCGTGATCAGGAACCTATTAAAATTCTGGCCGAAAACACATTCCCCGAAGGAAGTGATGTTCTTGAACGAGCTCGAGGAGATACTGGATGTCATTGAGCCGGCCGAATTCCAAAAAGTCATGGATCCGTTGTTCAGGCAACTAGCCAAGTGCGTGTCGTCGCCGCATTTCCAAGTAAGTATTACGCGCGCGCCCGCTCGCGTATCCGTTACTCGGCTTCCGCGCGACGTTCCACGTTCCGTTCGTTGTTGTTTCAGGTGGCGGAAAGAGCTCTCTATTACTGGAACAACGAGTACATAATGTCCCTGATATCGGACAATTATGCGGTCATCCTACCGATCATGTATCCAGCTTTCTATAAAAACTCCCGCAACCATTGGAACAAGACGATCCACGGTCTGATTTACAACGCTCTGAAACTGTTCATGGAAATGAATCAGAAAGTGTTCGACGAATGTACAACACACTACTATCACGTACGTTTCGTAAACGCAGCAATTCCCGCGCATTCCCGACACGCGGCTAGCAGTAAACATCCACCCGCTTGACTATCGAATTTCGATCTTTCCGTTGACATTGAGGGCGAATTTAAAATTACAATTTCACCGTCGGGCTCTCCTGTGTACAACTTGGCCGAATCTCGGCGAATTGAGGCTTGACGATTTCTATATTCACTCTCGACGCCGTGTGTGTGTGTGGGGAGGAAGAGTCCTCTTTATTTCGACCCTGCACTTCCTTCGCAGGAACGTCAGAGGGAACGAAAGCTCATGAAAGATCGAGACGAGGCGTGGATGCGCGTGGAGGCGCTCGCGATGAGACATCCGAATTATAACTTGTCCAACAAAGGCACAATGAACAATTCGTACGCTTCGCCGCAACACATAGACAGCTCGCCGCCCGACGAAGACGGCGATACGGATCAGACTCCGCTCACT